ATTGTTGTGATGCCAGCTTCTACTAGAGCTTCCACCCAGCCACTCCCTTTTAGCCAAGAACCAATAGCTGTCATGAAGGCTGATTCGATGTGAAACCCACCCATCATTACAATTAGTTTGTCCTCTCCATAGCTTTCAGGAAAACTCCACTGAATATTCTTTGCTATGCAGAATAACGGTTGGTCAAATGCAACAACAGGAATTTGTCCTGGATTGACAAAGGCAGTGGCTTTCTTTATAAGGTTCATTGCATGGCACATCAAAGAAACTGAATGCGAATCCTCTTTGAATAATGGCAGAATTGACGAAATTGATTTTTGGGGCTGTCTTTCATTTAAAGACTGCGCTTTTCAAGCATGAAAGGCTGCCCACGATAATCCACTATTTCCTGATTGCAAACCTTGTAGCCATTAATCGTCTAGAAATGCTCTCTGCTGTTTGCTGTCACTTTGCACAACCCCATATTTACTAGTGGGCACTTGGTTATCTTTTTTCTTTAAATACATTGACTTGAAATTAATGAAAAACGATGGAACACTCCATTGTCCTTTCAACCCACTTTGCTGTGGAAGTGGCACCTGTTGTGGGTCAATGTTCTCATTGGGATTAGGGTGCTGAAATAGAGATATCCCAGTTCCATGAAACGAGTTTTCTGAGGTTGTAGAAGTTGGATTATGATCCAAATTATCATAGGATGAAGTCACAAAAACGCCTTTAACTAATTCTTATATGAAATGGATAGCCCAAGCTTAAAGAGATCATCCACTAAACCAGCCTTCCTAGTATTTGAGTAAATCTTTAGTCCAACGTAAACTTGTAATGGTGTTTCACGATCTTTACTTCGATGCTCCTGTCCACCGCTGCATGACTGCCTTCTTCGTTTATAGGAATTATGCACTATCAGTTGAGCAATAGATAGTGCTGCTTGATCGTCGAGCATCCTATTTTCCATTTCTGATTTACCTGCCATTCCTGGGCCGTTTAAAATCATCTTGATCAGTGTGAGCAGTGTATTTGGTACTGCGTTCTGCTGACATTCTTCTCTAAAACTTCCCTCAAATCTTGATGTTGACTTAAAGATTTCATCCCGTAGTATTTCAGCTGTCATTGCAAGATGTCTACCTTGTTCATCACCATCTTCTTTATAGGCACAATGCAAAATATCACCGATATCTTCTTGAAAACCAATGAAAACTTCCCTTCCACTATTTCTAGCTTCAAGGTACGGTGCAGTTGCAAGGATCCTGTTCTTCAAATGGGTACTATGTATTCTTTCTTCTATCTCAACGCCAAGGTCTTTCAGAGTCGCAGCATACAATCTAACTAAATCTGATGGCTTAAAAATTGACTGTCTTCCCTCTGCCCTTTGTTCGTCAATGTATCTGAGAATTTGAGTTAATACAATACCTTGCACAATAGCTTCAGATGAAGGCTCGCTAGATTTCTCATTGCTCCTTTCAATGTTATAATAGGATGCTAAACATTGTCTATGATATGCTGCTTCTATTGCAACCATGTCGCCACCAGCAAGCTTTGCTAGGATCCTTTTATCCTGAGTCATAGTAGCTACTTTGCGAACTCGACTGTCAACTTGTAAAGTCATGACTTCGTGCAAAGATTCTTTTGCAGAAGAGGGCTGGTCGCAAAAAAAGCATAGACACTCTCTTCCTTGAGATTCGCCTGACTGACGCACAGATTTTCTTTTGACACTGGAATCAAGAAGTGATACATCATCTTCATTAGTTGCTAGGAGTGACCTTTTACGCAGCCTACTAAGACTAGTATTATTATATTTCAAGCTGCAAGATTTGTGCCATTTCCCTTTATTCAGCAAAAGAATGGATTCGAGATTTGAGTTGTCAAAAATTTCAGCAGCAATTGTTTTAACTCCCAATTTTGCGAATTCCTTTAAGTTTCTAGAAAGTGTGGCATAACCGCTGCCAATATTACATCGCAGATGAGTTTCATTGGCAGGGCACTGAAGTTTCTCTTTTGTTTCGTTTTGGCAAATGATGCAGAGGTCCCAATTTATATTATCTTCGTCTTCAGTTTCCATTAATGTTTGTTTTTGTGCTTACTATTTATTCAAGCCTGCAAACAAAGAATTGATTGGAATCGATTTCATCATCACCATCAATTTATTTACAGCTTGTAATTTCATAGTTCTTATAAAACTAATCTATACCAACTATTTACAATAAACCTAAATGAACACACTCATTTTTTTATAACAAACTGGCTATAAGAAACGAGTACTAGACAGTCAGGAAAAATGAAGAAACTTCAGTACTCGAAGAAAAGAGATTAAAAAACTATTAAATCGTGATAAAACTGAGAACAATGAAGTTTTGTAAAATCCAAGAACATGAATGCCCTGATGGCCTAGAAAATAAGGCACGAGGGATAAAAATATACTTCCCATATCTAAAAACAGCATCGGAACGGAAGCGAATCTCTTGACGTGATAAAAAAGGTCACAAACATGTCATAACATCATTCATGACATCATAATTAAGAACTTCCTAAGAAACAATGAGTATTGAAATTTCCAGAACATTCAGAAACTGGAGTACTCAACATCGACCTTTGTTTCTTAAAAAAAATGAGTGTATATATTAATTACCAATAAAAAATGTTTGCCAAAGATGTTTCTGCAGCTGACTGCCAACCAATACAGAAACCAATTAAAAAAAGGAAGACGTGCAGAGGCGTAGAAAATGAGACAGAAAAATTAATGATGTTTGAGAAGGAGAAGATAGAGATAGAAAAGAAAAAATTGCAGCTTCCAGCAAAAGACAATGAAAAACGGGAGAGAGAAGAAAGTGACCCAGACCGATTATTTTTGTTAAGTTTGTTGCAACTTTAGAAAAGTTCCAGAGAGGGAAAAGAGAGACGTGAAAATTAAATTTCAGAAATTATTGCAAGAAGCTCTTTTTAGTAGCCTACACAATACAAACATTTACAGGCCGTGGGATGATTGGAATAATCCAAATATACTTTAGATTATCCAAGAAATGTATAAGAACATGACACGATTAATAATAGATCAAAACAGAAACTTGTTATTCTTAGCAAAACAAAATCATAGGTTACCTCAATGTTATAACCAGTCTCTCTTCGCTGAAATTGGTTTTTTAAAGTTTGTTTCCTGCTTCTCAAAGTAGGGCGTAACAGCATTCAAAACAATATTGAAAGTTCTTTCTTCCATCCTAATGTATTGACAAAAATTTTCACGGTCTCCTTTCAATTGCTGGAAAAGATGATAGTATTCTCCTAGCAGCTCCCGTGTTCTATTTATAGGGTGAACACCAAATCTGGGGTTTTTCCGACATCTTGATCTCTGATGCATATTCATATGGGGGTTCTCTGCAAGTCCTAGACGATACATTTCGGAAAGCATTATAAGAATCGAATGAAATTTTGATCGCATGCACGCATTAAAAAGCTGCCAGTGTGAACGGAAAATCGTTCGCGAAGATGGGTTGCCACCTACTGCGCAATGATGCAAGTAAATGCTTGTGCAATGTGAATGCAGCCTTAGACTTCGTAAAAATTTCCACTGCCTCTGCAGGGGTCTTGCCCCGCACATCATATCGTCTGCATACATGCGTTTTAAAAGAGCCACATCAAAAAACACGCCCAATCTTCGGGTGTGCAAGAGTGCACCAGCTATTTTATAAAAATTTCTCGGGAGTGGAGCTGCCATGGAATCAGGGCCTAAAATAATCGTTGATCTGACTCACTTTGTGGAGTTGTAAATTAAAATTGTGGATCTGTAATTGTAGAAAGTGTGGATTTGTAAATAATGCATGTTCCTAAAAGTGCAGCATAAAATACAAATTGAAACGCCTAAGAAAGAGATGGGAACATTTTTTCAACTCGAAGTGAATGCCCAATCCGAGCCTTATGTGGGCGCCATGTTGAGTGGTTTGCATTGTGGATCAGAAGTGCAAAAGGAAAACGTCTGATTTGCAGCTTTAGCATATATATTCAAGCATAATTATTTTCTACTGGATTACATGTCGGTTACCGCTGAATCAGAACTACTCTCTGATTCTGTCAACATAGCATGGCTAATACATGGCGAATACAATGTCACGTAACTACGCCCACAATATGACGTAATCTCTTCAACACTCCTTGCTTCGTTTTTGGTAAGATGCTACGATGATTTAGGCCCCGTTTACACGGGAACGGATCTGCATGGATCCGTACCCAAACTGGCTACGATAGGCCTTGCGTTTACACGGGCACGGTAGGATCCGTATCTTTTCTGGGAAAGATCCGTACCTTTTTGGGTATGATTAAAAAGCGAATCCATTTGGATCCGTACCTTCATCGGCGCCGTGTAAACGGGAAGATACGGATCCGCAAAGGCACAGCAGTAGAACGAGACTGTTGCTGGGGTCAATGGAGGCTATTTCAATTGTACACAATAAAGCATCAGATTATCGACGAAGAATTACTTCACCAAGAGCTGAGGTACCAAATGTCGCCCCGGCCAGTTCAAGCTTTGTTGCTGCTTTCCTTTGTATTTACAAAGGTTGCTTCATTGCTGCAATCAGTTGGTGGTGTTTGCTAGCGCTGTTTCACCAACTAGCAACAGCTCAGCAAGAGAGAAGCTTGGCTTACCACGGCATCCACCAGTTCAAACGTGGTGGTCGTGGTCGACCAACAAGAAGGTTTTGGACAAGGCCAGGGAGGAGTGAAGCATGGTGGAGCGCGTTTGTTAATAACATTGTGCTGCCTGAAGAATGGTATGAAAACTTTCGTATGACAAAAAAAAGTTTCACGAAACTGTCCGAATTACTAAGGCCATTCTTACAAAGGCAAGATACCAACATGCGCAAGGCCTTAAACGTCGAAAAGCAAGTTCCTATAACTCTTTACTACCTCTCAGACGAGGGTAGATACAAAAAAGTAGCGAATGCCTTTGGTGTTGCCAGATCAACAGTATCTATGATGCACGTATTTTCTCAAACTCAGTGCTCAACACCAGGATGAAAAATGGAACTATTCCATCTTGTAAAAAAATCATTGTTGATGGCAAAGATGCAGTTGGTGTCTGTCTTCTGGGTGACCCTGCCTATCCCCTGTTACCCTACCTGATGAAGGAATACCCTGCAGGAGGCAGCAGCATTGAGGAAAAATACTTCTCTAATCGTCTTTCCTCTGCAAGAATGCCAATAGAGTGTGCGTTTGGACGTCTAAAGAGTAGATTCTCTGCACTGAGACGTGAAATGGATATTTGTATTCAAGAGTTGCCAAATGTCATATATGCCTGTTTCATCCTTCACAACTTTTGTGAACTTGAACAAGAAAAAATGCATGATGATGTTGTACAAAACACCATAATACATGATGGCCAGTTACAGCCAGCAACCTTGAAAAATTGTGGTTCTGGGGAAGCAGAGGGCAAAAGAGCAAGGGACATTTTCAAACTCTATTTTAATAATCACTAGTTTATTTGTTTCTTATTACCGAGTGAATATTTTAGTGAAGTTTTTATAGAGTACAAACTTTCATTATAAGAATACCAAATGTTTTGCTAAGCCTTAATCTTGTGGATTTTTGTTATTTTAAGTGACAAAGGTGTAAATTCGCCTGAAGATTGGAAAAAAAATTCAAGGCGTTGATGGTGTTTTACAAGACAGGAATAGAACAAAAAATTTCAAGTGCCATCAACAGACAATGAGAAACTCGCATTTGTTTTGACTTAAAAAAAACTTTCAAAACTGAAAAATTGCAGCCATTTTGGGGCTTAATATTCTTATAAAAAAGTGTGGATTTTGTTAAGAAATGACTTTCTCAAAAAAGTACTTTAATTTCACAAAGGTTGTTATCTCAGTGTATATTTTCTATCAAATTGTTATTGATAAGTATGAAGTTGCATATAACCCTCATGGTACTATGAACAACAATTTTCTAACCAGTGGTGGTTTTAAGGGGGTCAGGAAGCCATGGCCCCAGGTCCTGTGCTTTTGGTAACAAACAAGGGCCCTGCCGTCATTTTTGGCATCTGGGGTCATGCAGTCTCTAAAATGGCTATGGTTCCTATTTTAGCCCTGTTGCTAGCTGGGGAGGCTTATGTGATGTACCTGTTTTTGTAACCTGATAGTGGAATATCTGACAAGTATTTATTAAGGATTAAATGGATTTCTTTTAAAATATCAATGCCAATGATGAAATACGCTTACAATTCTTCTGATCATTTAATTGCTTTTTTAACAAATATTGTAGTGAGGTAGATAATGCATAAAGGAGGAGCATTTGACAGCAAATCATCATTTATAATGTTTCTTTTATAATTCTAAAAATGTTAAACACAAGAAACATCCCTTTATCAAATTATATCCCCTTTTCAATTATTAAATTGTGTATCATCTGAAGATTCATTTCTTTCATGTAGAAGATTGAAATAATATTGCTGTCCTTGCTGTGGTCCATAATAATGGGCTTGAGGTTTTGGCTATTGCCATTGACTTCTGTTAGGAGACTGACATTGTGCTCCATGCTGCAACATCATCTGCATCATTTGAAAGCCTTCTGCCATTGTTTTACTTATGGTGTTGGTCAAATTTTGAATAGCTTCATTGAACTGCTTTTGAGATGATTCAAATTGCTCCAAACAGCTTTTCCTTAGTTCGATGTCTTCTTTTCTCAGTTCCGAATCTTCTTTTGCAAGTTTAAGTATCTGATCTTGCACAGGCAATTTTTTCCTACTCTTTGCATTTCTTCTATCTGTCAGTGATGCTGATAGCTCTTCTCTGCTCTCTCTCATCTTTTTTGTCAATGGCTCTAAATCAGCCATAAGGTCTACCTCTTCTGTTTCACTGCTATTACTGTTGGTAAGGGCATCTGTTTCTTGGTCAGTAATTATATCAAAGCCAATCTATGATTCATTATCCATTTCGTTGACATCAACTATCTCAACTCCTCCTGAAATTTGTTTGACAAATGGTGACCCTGCCCAGATTTCATAACATTCATCATACAACATAGAAACTACTCTCCGGCCCCCACTCTTTATTCCACAGTCAATAGCCTTTCTAAACCCTGTCTTCATTTTGTTTATTTTCGTTTTCACTATTTCGGAAAGTCCTCTGTTGCCGTTTCTGGGTAGGCCTCCATAAATTCAAGTAAAATGTCTTCGTATTTCGACCTTACGGTCTCCCAGTCTTCTCCATTTTGCATTTTAGCAGCTTTGTAATCCAAAACTACCTTAATTAACAACGCTGTCTCCTCGTCTGTCCATGTAAAAAATGAACGCTTATCATTGCTTGCAAATGACACCATCTTACTGTAGGTGTTCTCCCGCCAAAATGAAAATTAACAATCACCTTGTCATTGCGCATGCTTAAAAAGAGAATCCGGATCTTTTGGATCCGTTCCTTTTTCAGTCGTGTTTCGGGGCCTTATATGATTAATGTGGTTCGTTTTTGGTTAGTTTGAGAATTTCTTATTTGGGAAGTGACTCAGATACGCAAATTAGCAAAGAATTCAGCATGACAAAGCACCTTGAGGACTTTCTTGAGCTATCTTGTGGCGAACTCAAGTTCTATCTTCAACAAAGAGCTATTCCTGTTGGTGGAAAACATTCCGACCTAGCTGCACATGCTCTAGTAGCGTTTGAACAAAAAATCCCTATTAAAGAGTCTGCAGAAGACTGGGCAAAAGCATTACGGCATGAATACACCATACTGCTAAAATCGTTTGACATTCAACAAGATCCTTTAGAGATAAAAAAATGGAACACTGACTTGACCAGGTGGCCAAAAGTTGATATTGGAAACATATTTTCCTACAAATTAGAAAAAAAGGCATTTTCAACAGAATACATTGGCCAATATAAGGTCAGGAAAGCATACTCACACTTCAAAAGCGGTTTTGTTCATGAAGTTGTGTCTTTGACAACACCAACTGGGAGCATCATATTGTTTTCCTCAGTAAAACCATCAACAAAAATAAAAGCACAACCACATAAAGTCTTGGTTGTTTGTAAACCTACAGGAGATATCCTATGTGGCTATTGTAGCTGTACAGCGGGATATAGTAAATGCTGCAAACATCTTATTGCTGTACTTTATAAAGTTGAATATGCAAACCAGCATGGCTTAACAAACTCATCATATACTGATGTGGCTTGCTATTGGAATTTATCCACCAAGAAAGATATAGGGCCTACAAAAATTAAAGATATGAATCTAGTCAGTCTCTCAATGGTACCTTGAAACAAGACTTTCATGCCAGACCTCTGGCCATGAAAAATACCTCTGAAGAAGAAAAAAATGTTTTCCTAAGTTCTGTTCGTAAGACACTGCCTGATGCAGTGCTGAATATCACATATTCACCTCCCTCAGAGGAAGATGTCCCTCCAACATTAAAAGAGGTGGCTGAAAAAGTTTTATCTACCTCCAGTTCTAGAGAGGAATGTGAACTTGCTAGCTCTTTTTCGCAGTGCTTGTCATTTAATGATAATAGCATGAAAGAACTTGAGAAGGCTACAATCTGGATATCAACCAGAACGATCTGGATATCAACTCATAGATAAAAGACTTGAACAAAGAACTGAGCAGACCCAGTGGGAATTGCATTGCATACAAAAAAGTCCGGAAAAGAGTAGAGGGTCAACAACAAACAGATCTTTGCCCAGTACAGCCATCCCTGTCCAAAACAGGTTCAGTCTGAAACAGAAGAAAATCAATCAAGTAACAACAAGGGATTCTAAACAGCCTCACAGAGCAAAGAACGACCATCAAACAAAGAACCCAAAAAAGCAATCGATGTTAGTCTGGGAAAAAACCATAAGCTTGCGAAGAATTCAAAATCTTATGATACAAAGGTTGTCATTTACGAAATTGTGGTGAGAGCTGACTAAAATGAAGCCAATGATAAATCTATTGCTGTTAATGAAGATCTACGACGAATTTGTGAGGTAGGAGATATCAAACTAATTTTCTCAAACTTTAACCTTCAAACATTTAAACCATAGTAAATTACATCTAAATAGATATGGCACCTCAGTTTCAGTTAATAATAAGAAATTATATGAAATGAGTCATAAAATGCATAAAGAAATGATATGAAATGAGGACTCTTGAATGCTAAACAGACAAATGACCATTCAGTTCATGCACAAATATTAGTAATGAGTGTAGTATAGACATGAAAGAAAATACATCTGGATTAGATCCATCCATAAATGGGTCTTCATCCCAGGACAATAGTAAGGACGATCAAAACTTGCTAGGGAAGCTCCGGAAGAACATTGTAAAGGGTTAAGTAATTGCCCACCTTAATGTAAACCTAGTTCGAGACAAGTTTGACTTCTTGAAATTCCTAGTTCCAAAAAATGTTGATATCATTCTTATTAGTGAAACAAAAATAGATAGCACATTCCCTCCTGGTAAATTGTTGATAGAAGTGTTTAAGCCTCCTTTGAGGTATGATCGAAATCAACATGGAGGGAGAATATTAGTTTCCAATGATGTAGAAGAACGGAAGGCGCTAGATGTCTAGCTCACAGGTACGCTGTGAGGCAAATATGTTTATTTCCGCCATCTTGAATAGTGGCGAAAAGGAGTATTTTAAGAAATAATTTAAAATAAAGTAGAAATGTTTAAGAAAACTCATGAATCACTTTTGTTGAAGAACTCTAACAATTTGCTGGTCTTTTCAATGTTGTTTGTTAGGTGGCCAAAGTTTCGAGAAAAAACTTGTTTTGTGTTGCAGAATGAATGATAGGAAAATATGGGCTTGGCTAAGCCCTTATAAATTACTGAGCCCTTATAAATTTGGTAAAAGTAAAGATTGATTTCTTTTACTTCTCTTTCGAATACCGATTTGAATTTTGGTAAGTGGCCTTATATTGCACTTGAATTTATGAATTGGTGTTAATATAATAAATATAAGCTGGGGTTTGCAAATTCCAAGCATTTACAGTCGCTGTGATTGCCAAGGTGCATTGCCAAAAAATAATGATCGATCTGTTTTAAACAGACCCGGCAACAATTTCAGCAACTCTTGCGTTATTTTCTTAACATGTTAGTACAACGTTGTGATTTAGTTATTTTTTTCTTGGTTTACAAAACTGCTATGAAATATCTAGGCCTAACTCTAGAAAAAGCCCAGAAAATAACTCAACGCTTGCTTATTAATAACAGAATTTAAAGATAGCACCCAATTTTTAATTTGATATAATTATTGATATTTTCCGACGATTAAAAAAACATCTGTTTTTGTAATTATTCTTCAGCACAATGCATCCCTCCCCCGTATCTTTGGGCCTATAAAATGCCTTTGCAGTACATTTCACAATAAAGATTATTTATTTGGCCTTATCAAGAAGAAATAAATTTAATTCATTTCAAATTTTATTTCTACAAATGCAATTTGACAAACTAAGTATCACAATTTCGCACTTCCCTACTGATGCCATATTAGGTTCTCAACGACAGACAGA